CTTCAAATAAATTATAATATCATCAATATAAACAACAACATGTTTTATCAGATATTTTCTCAAAACATTATAGATTAAGCGCATACCGTACTAGGAGCATTAGTTAATCCAGAAGACATAACAAGTCATTCATACAATCCAAACTTAATATTGAAAGTTGTTTTCCATTCATCTCCTACGTGCATTCTAATTTGATGATATCTAGATTTTAAAATAATTTTTATAAATAGACACGAATCATGCAATAAATCAAGCATATCGTCTAACCTAGGAATAGGATGTCAATACTTTACCTTGATTTTGTTGATGACTCTATTATTCATGCATATGCGCCAAGTTTCATCTTTCTTTGGCACCAATAAGTCTCGTATAGAACATGGACTCAAACTTTCTCATACATAGCCCTTCTCCATGAGCTCCTCCACTTGCCTTTGAATTTCTTTTGTCTCGGTTGGATTGACTCGATAAGCTGGCTTATAAGGAATGACAGTCCTTAGAATGAAGTTTATTTTAAGTTTAGTACCTCTAATGGGAGGTATTTCTTTGTCTTGAAACATGTCTTCAAATTCCTATAAAAGAGATAAAAAAACACTAGGCAAAGTAAGTTGTTATAGTTAGAGACCAAAACTTCTCCAATTGTACATAAGTACAAAGATCGATTTTTGTGAAAACCTTCTCACCTCTCCCACCGTAGCCAAATAACTCTCTCTTCTTTTTTCTTCAATTTCATCTCTTTTTTCCATCTTCTTTTTTTCTCTTTAATTTTTTCTCTATTTTTTCACTCACTCTTGTTTTTCTTTTAATTCTTTTTCCTCAAACTCTTTATTTCTTTCCTCCAACTTTAATTGATCAGCAAATACATTTCTAAAACTCAAGTACAAGAGTGGTTTTTCTACCATCTTTTACAAAAGAATAGCTATTCAAATAGCCATCATACATAACCCTCCTGTCAAATTGTCATGGTCGGCCAAGCAATATATCTCCAGCTTGCATTGGTAACACATAACAAAGAACTTCATCTTTATATTTTCCCAAAATAAAAGATATTAAAGCTTGGGAAACTATCTTCATTGTTCCACTATCATTGAGTCATTGGAGCTTGTAAGGTTTAGGATGATCTTGGGTTGGAATTTGTAACCTTTTAATCAACATGGTACTTACAACATTAGTGCAACTTCCACTATCAATGACAAGACTACAAGCAGTCCCCTGACGAAACACCGCGTGTGGAACAAGTTGTCTCTTTGATCATCAACATTATTCTCCGTAACTTGAGTTTTAACAAGTCTTCTTGTTATAAGTGCCAAATGAATCCCATCTTCCAGTTCCTTCTTATCTTTTTGGACTTCTTCAACTGATCATTGATCTCTCCTCCATTTTCCTCGTCTTGGTTCATGATTGTACAAATAGTAGTGAAATATGTTTAGGACCTCAGATACTCAACTCACTGATTTTACACTTAGGGACACTCGTGTTTATACACATAAAGGTAGGTTGTTTGGGAAAGTGACTAAATTATGATCAAGGTAGACTAATATATAGGTAAAGCAATTCAAGGCAATAAAGATAAGTTAATTATGAAGTAACAACAAAATAAAACAAGAAGTGAACAAACAAATAAGAGACTAAGATATTTTGGGATAGAGTTGCACACTGAAAAATAAAATAAAAAATTCAAAAAAGAAAGGACGTGAAGATTTTAAGAACAATCTAACTCTCTTTTTACAGAATTCGGGAAATTTAGAAGTTATCTTCAAGCGTAGATTATGAGAGAAAAAAAATATATCAAACACAACAGTTCTAGATTTAGATGGATTAGGAAAAAGATGTGAATCGAAGTTTATTTGATCTTCAAATAAACATGAAAATGATCTAAAAAAATGTTAAAGATCGTTTATAATCACAATCGTATGAACAAATATGATAAGATTTTTTTTTTTTTTTTTTTTTTACAAGATCTAAATGTGATCTTTAGGAAGAAAATGAGAACAAAGTGAAAAGTTGATGAAGATTGGCGGAAATGACAGCAAGAAAATAAATGGACAGATTTAAAGAAAAAATAAACAATAGCAGAAATGAAAGATAAAATAAATTTTAGAGTCGGCCACAAATATGTAAACTTCGGCTATGATACCAAATTGATAAGGCAAACCCTAATCCTCAGCCCAATGATCCAAGCTTTTTTGAGCAAGAACCCTTGAATCAAAGTAATTAACACCTCCTAATACGAAATTTGGATCAACCAAGAGATAAGGCTAGAATTAGATTACCTCTTACGATCAAAGATCTAGAAGCAAGATTTGGAAACCTTGTTCTAAATTGAGTCACTCCACAATCGAACTTGATCAAGGCTTCATTGAATGGCTCGAGTGCAATTCTACCACAAGAATTGCTTGAAACTTAGAAATGACAAATATGATGCTCGAATTTCTAAGGGAAACGTCTCAATTTGAGATCTGAATTACATTCATCCACGAATTTGAATTTTACATAACATATTATGGGTATTTATAGTCTCCCGATAAAAGACGTTTGTGGACGGAATTTATTCCCAATCCCCTTTAATAAGAATAAGTCAAATTGACCATTTGACTTTTACATAATTTATCAAATTAAAAATAGTTCTTTTTAACAAATGTTGATGTGGCTAATGCAACAGGTTTGAAATCAATTGAGCTCTATGGGCGTAGGTAAAGAAAATCTATTTTGGTATAATTTGGGGAGAAGTATCAAATTCCTAATGTTTCTGGGTAGAACTCCAGCAAGAAAACAAGTTTCTGACGAACTTTGGGGGTGAATAAATTAGGCTACGATACACGAGAAGTTATGAAATCAATCCAGAGCTCTTCCTTCTGACACCATCTTTGAGTTTCATGAAGAAATTGAGGGGAGAATGTTGTAAATGGAGATAAAGAAGCAAAGAAATAGGTGACGAAGACCACAGTCGCACGCGTCTTCATCCTTCCACACAAAGAAGTTGATGACGTGGCCAATTAAACTAAACCGGTCATGTCAAATCAAAAAACAACTTGCCCTCGATTTTTCTCAATTTTAACACTATTCCAGATCAGTTCCCAGGAAAAGGATTTATGATTCCAGAAACTAGATACTCTTAAGAAATGTTTCAAAGAAAATTTGAAGTAATTCGAATACCATAACTTCAAGAACGGAGGTCCCGAACGTCAACAGCGAGATAAGTAGTCATATTGAACTTTTCTTAAGAAATACTTATATGAATTAGTTGAATTTCAGTATGAACATTAAACTAGGTATGAATTAAGGATATATGAAAGAAAAATATCAAGAGCCACCTGGGTCAATTCTTTCCTCTTAACAATCGAAGTTAATGCACTCTCTAGAAAATGCCAAAGAGTGCAAAATTCTTGCTTAGTAGTTCGTGTGTTTGTGGCTTGATTTACTTTCACTTTGCTAAATCATCCTAAATGTTGGAATACCTTTGATATTTAATTCAGCCTTATTAATAACTTGATCAAGTCTTTATGTGTTATTTTGTCTTTCAAGTCACACTCCAAACCTTGCTAAAGTGTCCAACCATTTACCGCTTTGCTCATATAATCTCAGAGCTTCCTTTGAATACTTTCTCCTAAAATTATAGAGCATAACCATCCTAAGTAGGTAGGTTATTTCCTCCCATTTCTTTGTAACACTAAGAAATTAACAAAATTGATATTGCATAAGAATAATAGATATTTTTACACGTAGTAAGACTAAAGATATTTAAGAATCTATTTATCTTGTCACTTGGTATTCACAATAAATCTTAATTTCTTGTAAAGGATGATTGGGGTAATTTTGTCTTTTTTCATAGAGTTTATATCTTAGCATGTTCTCATTCTAATAAGACAATTTTAATCCTCGTCCCAACTATCAAAGTTTTTGTTGAAGCAAGAACCGTTGAATCAAAGAAATTAACACTTTATACAATTTGGCTAGAACTAGATTACCAGTTAATATAAAAAATCTAGAAGCAAAATTTGGAACTTTGTTCTAAATTGAGTCACTTCATAATCAAACTTGACAAAAGCTATGTTATGTATTATAGAATGTACGGAAGTGTAAGCATAATTCACAAACTTATTATGTTATAGATAAATGGAGATTTGTCTTGTATCATACATTTGTCATGATTATCAGCTATGGGGATCTCATGCATTTTTATGTGTCATGTAAATCGAGATACTACCCAAATATGATGAGTACGGGCGAATAAGTTACAACTTAGATCTAAGACATTTATGTTCGTCGTGATATTATGTGGGCCCTTTCCCTCTGTGGTGTTTGTCAACAGCCCGTTAGTGAGTGCTAGCCCGATGAGCCAAGCCAAGGGGGTGTGCAAGCTCACATGGTGGGCCCATGCTCGCACGTGTGGGCCATGTTTAGAGAAGTTCTACACATCCAACCTTACTTGAACTGGAAATCTGCTTATAGTCTTGTTATGATATTTTAATAGGATAGATATCATCATGTTGCAAGTGTTTACATTTTTTTACTCCAATATTAGAGTTACTAAGTAATTCTTACAATACTAAGTCATATGCTACTCATTTCAAGTAAAGGTAACACACCCCTGCATAGATGACAGTGACGTCAAGATGAAGGCCATGAAACCAATGTTAGGGTAGTTGTATTTAGTCTATTTTATAACCCTTAGGTTAGATAAGAGCATCAAGCAACATAGCATAGCTTAACATACCTTTCATACATGACACAAGTAGGGGCAACGAGACATGCGTCAACGTATATAATACAATTCATCCAACCAAACTAATAGTAGGACCACTTACTTGGTTGGCCTACGCCAAAGTCACTGCACTCCCTTGATGCTAGCTTAACTGTAATACCCGAATTTTTAGATAAATAAATAAAAAATAAAAATAACAACATAGGGGCAAAAGGGTCATTTTGCCCCTACCATACCTAAGGGGTCTAGTTGTTTGGGCTCCAAGAAGAAAGAGAAAGAGAGAGAGAGAAAAAAAAAAAGTTAGGGTTTGGGAGAGAGGAAGAACAGAGAAGACAAACCGCCGTTGGAGATCGAATCCAAGGCAAGAAACTTCGAAGCAATACTTCTCTCGGTACTGGAAAAGGAGTTTGGGTGGTGGATTCACTCATTTCGGCAAGAAAATCCGAGAACAGACAAAGTACGGTTTCCTACTTCTTGTTTCGATTTTATCTAGATCTGAGGAGTTTCTTGAGCATTAGATCTGGATTTTTTGAGTTATGTAACTAAAATAAGATTCACACAAGTTTCTTGAAGTTCCTGGACGAGAATCGGAGTTTAGTAGGACTTCGGGTAAACCGATCGAAAATAGAAAATATGCATTTTTTTCGTATCTTTGGACGGCCTTAACTCATCCTGTGCTCAAGGAAAAATATATTGTAGAAGTAGAATATGAGATCTACAATGTTCGTGTAGAAACTTTGTTGATATGGAAAATGAAACACACATAGGAGAGAAAAGCATCGGCCGGCGTATGAAGGAGAGAGGCAGAACCGTGAGCGACACTTGGCGAACTGCGGCTGGAGAGGTGTGTCCCACAGGCTAGGCGACACACGTCAGGGCGCGGATTCGGGTCAACCCGAGTCTGATCCGACACTTCGCATGCGAACAGAAATGCCGCAAGACCGCTCCAACCTGTCCGAACCGACCCGTCTCGACCCACGACTGTACAGAATGGAGCGTGTGGGTACACATGCGTAGAATCTGCACGTACTACACCCTCCAGAGTGCGTCAGTCGCGCGTGTAGGCGCGTGATTGGCCTTTACCCCTCCATTCGACCTCCGTTTGCTTGCTTTCGCCCCGATTTCAACTCTTATCCTATTTTTCTGTGAATTAGAACCTATCAAGGAAATTCCAAAATTTTGGAACATTTTCCGGCAAATAATTCGAGCTTGGGAAGGCACGCGTCAACCATGTAAGTAGCCATTTAGATTCCCACGAGCAGTACTTGTAGGAACTGCTAGGAACAAGCATGCATGCTACCACCCATAAACTTAGCTAGCCGAACCTAGCATATTTGTATGGAAATTGCGAAAATGAAATGATTAAGGAAAGCTAGATATGAAATGTTTATTAAATCTGTTTTGATTGAGATTCTAATAAAGTATGTATGCATGAGGAGGATGAGAAACTTGTGAAATCTGCGCTCGGGGTGAAGATGGACATTATCTTCCCTTTTAGCATGTTTGTTAATACTGCATGCACTGTTGCGTGTGAACTCTTATGCATAATGATTGCTTGTGTTATCTTTCTTGTTGAATAGGAAGGAATTATAAGTGTGGATTAGGGTGCTTGTGACTAAGTAGGCTAGATGAGATCCTAGAATGGGAGACCTCTAGAACACCGTGCATATAGGCCCGCAAAATGATTACTGGCAGGTCCAGAGCCCAGAATTTCAAACCCGATAAGTTTGTGAGACCAGACACGAGAATCCTAGAGATGCATGAATCCAAGTCTAAGCCACCAAGTTCCACCCTAGAAAAAATAGTAGGTCACTACGGTAACTGTAGGTAGCCCACTAAAGTTGAGCAGTGTGGATAGTGTCATCAATGATGGTGTTAATATAACACATGCGGAAGCAATTTGGATCTTAGGCACTTTTAGAACATCAATTATAGTAAATAACTAGCATGTTCATAAGTATTAAAACTTAATGAGTTTAGATACTAACCTTTTGTAGTTCAAACTCCTTTTTCCTCACAAACCGGTTTCGAACCACCACTAGTGTCTTCTCCACTATCCTCCGGCCTTAGAACGGGATTGTGGAATCCGGTGAGTGACTAAACTTGGGAGGGATTTTGTATATATGAAGAGAGTGTTTGTGAGAGGTTTTTTCTCAAGGTTTTTCACCAAGAAGAAGACCTCCCATGTACCATGATCACTCTATTTAAAGAGTCATGTTTGCATGTTTATGCAAATTTTAGTTCACCAAATTTTGACTCTCAAAATTCCACTCAAATGTTTGGGATTATGTGGCAAGCATGCATGTTTGAGTTAACCAAATTTTGACACTTAAAATTCCACTCAAACTTGTGAGGTTTATTTGGCAAGCATGCAAGTTTGGTTAAACCAAATTTTGACACCTCAAAATTCCACTCACATGTATTTTTCCATTAAATGAAGTCAACATTTTGACTTTCTTCATTTTAATTCAACAATTAATTTGAATAATTAATTTCAGATTAAAGTAACATTAAATGATTAATTAAACTATTTAATTAATATTTAATATTAATTCAAATGTCAATATTAAAGTAACATTAAATGATTAATTAAACTATTTAATTAATATTTAATATTAATTCAAATGTCAATCTCAATCAATTCCGACACATAATTGATTAAGATATTTAAATCTTATTTAAATATCTCAGATTCTCTATTTTTATTTAATTCGTAAATAAAACAAAAATGCGGTTAAATATATCGTATATATGTAGCGCATATTCCCTAATTTGAATTCGAACACTTCGAACTCACTCGTCACACTGTTCTATGGTTTAGTCCGATATGAGCTAACAGAGGGACCTAATGGACCTATAGATCATGGGCTCCAACGATAAAAAATTAACCGGTTAAACTCATTAACCTGGTTAACCAACATTCGTTAACTACTAGGACACTCCACTATAGCCTAGTAGTTGCACTCCCCTCACTATAGATATATTTCTGTCCATTTGATATAACCATGATTAGTAAGTCGATCCTTCACAAGTTGTTCGTAACTAGAGCTGGGTCAATTTACCGTTTTACTCCTGAAGTTACTTCTTGTTCCTTATGTCTCACTGATCCTCTAATGAACCATTGGTTTATGGTCCAACTAGTAAACCGAATCCCTCTCAGGCCAATGAGAGGGTGGGGCCCCTTGTTTAAGACCTGGAGTCAATGCTTAAGGGAACTACCTCTCTTCTATCCCTAAAAGTGGGTAGGAGTGAATTTCATCTTGCACCCCACGTTCCCAGCCATTCACCCTGTCTTACCCCTGAAATGGGAGCCCTATTAAGTTGGCGAATTAGAGCCACTCTCACCCATGCAAATCTAAGGATAATTCCAAATAAATAGGAGTTCATGGTTAGCTTAGGATTAAAACCAAGTTACCTAGGTTATCGAATGAAAAGAAAATCAGTCTCAACAGTAAACGACATTATAAAGTGAGAGTGGTTTTCTTCATGGTCCGATCTTATGCAATACTCATTGCATAGGACGCCTCCACTCACATGTCTCCACATGTACAATTTAGTGATCACATTGTCTATATCATATACAAAAGTGGGCCGCAGCCATAGTGTCCCCAGAATAAGGTACTCAGCCTTATCCTTATACTATAGATCATTTTGACTATATACTTGAACTTGATCCACTCTTATGTCTCTACATATAGTTCAAGTAATCATACTGTAGCCAGAGTGTTCTTAGTTTATTGGATTTAGATTAATGATTATAAAGTTCACTTTATTCAATAACAATCTTTACTGAATAAACAACAATAATAACTTTATTGAAAATAGAATATGTTTTTTTTTTGTTTACAAACTATGAGTTTTAGGACATAAAACCCAACAATCAGAACCACCACTTCCCTCTCTACTCCGATACCGTACCGTCGAGACAGAGCTCCGGTACAAAGATCGTTGAGCTTGGCAGATCCGGATAGGGAAGTGTGACAGGTGCCCAGACCCAGTGGTGATAGCTAAGGGGTCTTCTGAACAGGACTCCTGGGCCGTAGAAACCCGTCCTTGAGCGGGGGACGTGGAGCCACATAGGATGACTCAGTAGCTGACCGGCACACAGGGGGTCGCACCCCGTTTAGTGGATGTATGGTCTCGTGTGAGGGTTGTCAGCTAACCTCCACGGATGATGTTCAGAGAGAGTCACGTATTCAGATCCAGCCATACGATCCCCTCAGATTTACTTATGAGGTCGCGCCTCACCTCAGGACACTGATCATTTCACTACATAAGATGGCCAAACCTCCTAAGATACAGAAAAGAGAGTTGTAGCGTGATTCGCACTCACTAGAACCCAGAGATAAGACCGTGTATACCTACTAAGATAAGGATGCAAGAAGAGCCTACAAGTAAGTTGCTTACCGAGTATATTTTTATACTCACCCCTTTCTTCCCTTTTTTTTTTTCAGGTACCAGTCGATACGGGTAGGTATTCGTGTAACGACCCTAATATTTTACTTGTCTAATCTAAGGTCATTACTATACTTTGAAATTTGGAATATACATTTAATGGGCCCTGTTCGTTATTGCGACACGCACTCGCCTTTTATTACCTCAGAGGAAAATTGGTTACAAGGGAAAAAGAGAAATTGAAGGAAAGGAAAGGGAACAGAAACCAAAAATGCATATTTTATTCTACCCTAAGGTTTATTATGCAAACACCTCTCCTCCTATACTAACCTAGATTAATGATGCAGCCAAATTCGGCCTAGACTACGAAATGGAAAAAGAACAACCCACTACCCTATGCATGTGCCACGATCCTGGGGGTACGATGCCGTCGTCGTCGTCACATGGGTGCCTTGCCCTTATCTGCAAAAGTAAAGTAGCACGAGGCTTGAGTATTTCTAGAATACTCAGTAAGTGACCCCCTATCGGGGTTATGCGACATACACATGCAATGAAATGATGGGACCTATCGTTTCGTTCCGTTTCGTTTCGTTTTCCCTACGGTGTAATCCTAACAGGTAACCGTGGACATGTACCATATACTCTACACGCAGCCCATACGTGCGAGTATGGGCTCACCAGCTAGTTCGCACACCGCTGGGCCACTGTCCCTAGCCGGTGGGCATGCTCTGGGGGCCCACCGGGACCCGTTAAAACTAAAACCGTCACGGCAGCGCTATGCAGGGCATAACGATCGTGGTCCTGCCATTTGGATGTACGCGTCCGTACCCTCGTGATGGGATAGGGGTATCCCCCCAAATGCATGATCACACAATATGCATGAGGTCCCACTAGTCCTACAGTCATCATTTAATGAACATAACCCCGTGTCACGTTTTCATGCTTACATGTCATTCTCATTCTCATTTCGTTACATATCATACATATTCCTAGCGGGGTTATGTATCATGCAATTCACCGTATTTCATGTCAAACAATTCATTCAGTTGCATTTCAATATTCATAAAACAAGCCATAATCATACAAGGGTCACACATCGTCACATGCATTCATATCACATCAACTAAGCAGCATAGACAACATACATTCACGATCACATGATTTCGTACTTAAGCACATTAAGCTAGCA